GAACCTGTTAGGAGAGGATTGACGTGTGAGCTGAGAACCTGTTAGGAGAGGATTGACGTCTGAGATGATATTTTCCTATAAATGTTTACTATAATTCCATGCATTCGCGGATATTAAATCAAGTAAAATGTTAGAATTAAGACTTTAACTTGCTGGCACATCGGACGCCAAGTAATGTAAATTTATTAATATAAGTTAAGGGTTTAGAGGAGAAAATCGTAAATATTGGAATAAGTAATTAAGCGTTCACTCCGTCAAGACTGTTTCCCTCGGAACTGTACAAAAAATAAGAGAGACTTAGAACGTTATTGTCTATTATCTTATCTGTGTATTGTCAGTACCAACAGTTGCATCAGAGAGTGTTAACACCTCATGCATCACACATATTTTCCTATGTGATGAAAATACCTCCCAAGTGGTGACGGAAAAGACAACGTCGTGTGGTCGTCCCAGCATAAATATTATCACAAGCTGCTGCCAGAAAAAGGGTGTGAAGGTCATCTTCGATTTCGGGAACCTTGAAGTAAACAAACGTGTCAGCTGTTTAACATAACCGGCACCCAGACAGGTATAGGTGTGTTGATTGAGAGGTAGGTAGGCACACTGCATATTTTCTGTGTTTCATTTTTTCTTATTTATATGTCTAGTTGAACTTTGTTATAAATTATGCTATACATTATACAATTAATTAAATATCACAAAACAGCTACATTGTTTTAGAGCTTATTGGTTCTTAAAGCACTTATTTGTTTCCCACATAAAGAAGCATCGTTAAAAGATATCTCTCGTGTTAAAAGTATTATCCGAGTTTCTTATGTGAATTTCTGAGCGACGTACTGGACACAAAAATGCTGCAGGTTTATTCATAGTAACATTATGTAGTGGAGTCGCTTAGAACATCATACATGTGATGTGCTTCTGCCACCTAGGTATAATTATATATAAACGTTCAGAAGCTTCAAATTAAATCCTCCTCAACAGGGATTTGAGTTATATAAAAATCTACAGACAAAAACCAGAGAATAAATATGTTCCAGAAAAAAAAGTTACCAAACTGGAGCCATCGCGACCATCCACCGGAGCTTGAAAATAAGAACGTCTCTCATCGTTCTCTCCACCTTCGGGAATCTTCCTATCTCAAGTAAAAATCCTCCCAATATTTCTAAACCGAGATTGAGGTCATTTCCATCCAGAGAGTAATGGCTCTTTTGCCTCTGTTCGTGTGCTCGTGCAGACAGACAAAAAACGCAGACAGACAAAAGTAATCTCTATAAAGTAAACAAAGACATAATTAATCAGAGTAAGACACGAGACAGATGAATGGTTGGAACAGAACACTGAAGGTCAAATAAATAATACTAAGGACTTAAGACACACACATTAATAGATCATGTTATAGCCTCCTTGGATTACATACATACATACATACATACATACATACATACATACATACATACATACATAACTATGCACACACACACGCTCTTGCACACGTAAGCATTGTCACTCAATTCACGTTCCCATTTTTGTTATGCAACCAGACAGACGTACTGACGGACCCTCCCACACACATTCACACTCCATACACTCGTACACTTCACACATTACACACTCCCACATACACACACACACACACACACACACACACACACACACACACACACACACACACACACACACACACACCAAACCAAAATAACCACTTAACCTCACAAAAGACTCATAATCAAACTCCCTAACAAATTCCAGATTAACCTAAACGAATTATCTCGATGACACCCGATTCCTCGGGAAGGTTAAACAAACAGTTCACCCAATAATCAGGTCAAAAGATATCTCCACCCAACCTTCTCGTCTACTCTCCTCCGTAAGCTATACTCAATAGAAATCCACCTGAATTGATTTGATGGTCAGAAATTTGAATTGTTATTTTTTTGTTCCGTGTAATGTAATGTAATTGTTCGATCCCCGGGCAGGGTGAAACTATGGGCAAGTTTCTTTACGTCATTTGCCTCTGTCTACCCAACAGTAATTGGGAACCTGGATGTTAATCGATTTGCGGATCGTATTCCGAGGTAATGGTTATCCGGTGCAGTTGGCGAGTTGTCCGGTCTTCTCGGACTATTCCTTGACACTGGGTCATGCAGCTCGTTAACGTAGGGTGTGGTTGTTGTGTTGGTGACAGCGTCTACACCTTAAACACATTCACGCCTAGGTGGCCCTAGGGCCGTCCATCCTCGTTACACGAGGGGCAACCATAATGTACGTATGTATGTATGTATGTATGTATGTATGTATATATGTAGTCACTTGTGTTGTTATTTCTTTCACTGGTTTATACTGTCAGTGAACCACAGTATGGAATTGATATTGTGTGGGTGGCTCACTCGTGGTGTGGTGGCTGTGAAGCGAGTGTGTGTGTGTGTGTGTGTAATAATAATAATAATAATAAACTGTTTATTAATAGAGTTGCAGCCGGTGGCTGAAAATATACAGACTTACATTTGATTTAGACATAATGATATAATATGCATTGAATACATTTGCAGGGCTGTACAGTACATAAATCAGGAGTTGTTTATTATTTTAACAATAGATGGGATGGTGCTGTTCTTATATCTATCGGTGCGGGCTCTTATGGGCTGAATTTTGTTGTAGTGGCGGACTGCGCGAATTGGGTGGGGGGCTGCAGGTGGCAGGAGGTGGTGATGACGAGGGTGATGCAGTAGTCCACTGCCAAACCTTTCCAGTGCTTGGTGGTGGAGGTCACTGAGGGATGGCATTTCCAGGGTGGAGAGAGCGTTGGTGTAGCCGGAGTATTCTGCACCGAGCATGATTCTGCAGGCCCTTTTCTGTACCTTCTCTAGCTGACGAGCGTTTAAGACAGCCGGAGTATTCTGCACCGAGCATGATTCTGCAGGCTCTTTTCTGTACCTTCTCTAGCTGACGTTGTTGGGTGGAGTTAAGACAAGACGACCAGGCTGGTGTGTGTGTGTGTGTGTGTGTGAAGCAGACTAGTATATATACACACTGATAAGACAGTGTTATATCATTAATAAAGACAGTTATTGGTTCTACCTGACCGTGCTCAGACCTCACTCTATAACTTACTATCAGATAAGAGATGATAAGAAATTCATATCATCTATGAACCCGATAGTGAAGGTGACGAGTGATGGTATTTAGAGAGACGTATATAGTAAACATTCAACATTCAGTAAACATCCACTCTATCTCCCCTACTATACAAGGAATGTATATATGTCTTACGCAGTGGTGGTGTTTTTCGGCAAAGATATGAGAAGTCGTAAATGAAATACATCTTTATCGACCTCAGTGGCTGTGTTTTATCTCCCAGTCGTCTTTGTTTGGTATAAAGATGAATGTTTTGGTGGACAGTGTATCTGTCTGTCTCTCTTTGACTGGCTATTTGTGCTTCTCTTTTCTGTACAAATGTCTGTTGCGTGGCTTTGTTTGTTTGTGTTTTTCTATAATATTTTCTCTCTTTCCCTCTACAGTTGATTTACTCTAGACAAAACGCCTTAGTCAGTATTTTACATTATATTCGTTTAGATAACTACCTATTTATATATAATCTGATTATTAAAGGTACTTTCCAAAGGTGATGTCACGCATACTACACCTTACCATGCTCCTGGTAATTGTGGCGTTAATGGTGCCACTGTTTGTGATGTTTTAATGGTACTCTCAATATCGAAGTTGTTGGTGGTGATGTTTGTGTCTGTGTGGGGTTACGCAGCGGGACCAATATCTTATTACTACAAGGACACGAACTAGTAACCTATCCTCATGTGTAAGAAATTTATAAAATGAATACGCGATGACAACAAAACAACCACGTCATCACACCAGGCAGTTCAGTTGGTTTCTAACTGGATGATCTAAAGGCGAGATAATACGCTTCTGATAGTAAGATTGATTAGTAGGATTATACTAGTATACTGGTGGATTAGTATGAGAGGTGTGATTACTATCTGATAGGAGAGATTTCGGGTGGTGAGTGAGAAGAGGTGAAGAGGAAGATGGTTTGACGGGTTAAAACACACACAACACAAAGCTATCCATACAGAAAGAGACACAGTGGCAGTCTATCCCCTTTCACTTTTTTTCCTTCTGAAACGTAATCGACTATAGTAACACAGTGGACAGATGTAGGACTTGTATTGGTAAGTGTGAGTCTGGAAGTGTGTACACTATCCATTGGGTTAAAGATGCTTAGGGAAAAATATGGGAGGGTGGGATGTCATAAATCATAGGTGGTGGTGGTGATGGTTGATGATTGTGGTGGTGTTGGTTGTTGATGGTTGTTGGTGGATGGTGGCTGGTGTTGACGTGGTCGTGGTTGGAGTTTATTGGTGGTGGTTATTATCTTTATAGTATTGTTGATGATATGGTAGTAGTAGTAGTGTCTCTGTCTCTCTCTCTCTCTTTCTCTCTCTCTGGACCTCCGCTAGCCCTTCGCTCTTCCCTCTGTTCACGAGTTACCTAAAATCACCGAATGATTAAACAATGAGTGAAAGGATACCCGGTAAGTGCCTTTCCTAAGCGCGTTCACCTCACTATACTCAGGCGTTCGTGTCAGTCATAAAAGAGAGCGCCACTGCAGGCAAATGGAAGGCGAACGTTCATGACTTAAGCTTACATGAGCTCATCACTGAGGGGCTTTGGAGACTCTGGACGTTGGCAAAGTTTTAATGATAATGTGTTGGTCGTTAGTTTTGATCTTGTGTTAGGGAGGAGATGAAAGAAAAGAAGGCGGAGGAGATGGAGAAGCAGCAAGATAAAGACAAAAGAAGAGCACACACAAGAAGAATTATATGAGATGGGGAGGGATGATGGAAGATGAAAGAGGGAAGGGAGGGACAAGAAAGATAGTGATGGAGGGAGTGGGAACGACTCTCACCTTCCCATTAGTATTGGGAAACTTTAATTCGGTTATATTAAATCTTGAACAAACTGAAAACGACAATAGTACTCACTTTTGATAGTTATGTTGATTCCTTCCTTATTTTAGCTGCTGCCCATTGGTTAATTCCTTATTTTGGCTGGTGTCCATTGGTTAATTCCTCATTTTAGCTGATGTCCATTGGTTAATTCCTTATTTTAGCTGATGTCCATAGGTTAATTCCTTATTTTAACTGGTGTCCATTGGTTAATTCCTTATTTTAGCTGATGTCCATTGGTTAATTCCTTATTTTAGCTGATGTCCATTGGTTAATTTCTATTTTTAGCTGATACCCAATAGTTCACATTTTAGCTCTTGAGGTTCAGTGTATTTCATTGTTTCAAATCTTGTTTCATATCAGTATCATAAGATCACCTCCCCTCCATCCACGCCTATGATAGTTGTGTTCCCTGCGGTCAACTAACATCCAGTCACTCCTTAACCGACTTCTCTAAACTGGATACAAGATCTTGAGACCAGCAAATTGGATTTCGATTTGTAAATATTTCGTTTTCAATTAGGACTCCAAACTTCAGAGGCGAGTGTGTTTGTAAAGCCTTCGAACGTAAAATATAAATTCTAATAATATCAATTGATAAACGTCCAGTTTCTAGGTATAATTGGACAGAGTAGTTTCTAATTATTACAAAAAAAATAAAATCAGCTCATTATTTCCGGGGAGTTTGCTGCGAAACACATCTTATCATCACTGTTATTAAGGTTATTGATGTGTTCACTGCTTAACATGTTTTTAATCACTGTTTTATTTGTTTTTTCAATTTTTGGGTCGATGTTAATTTTCACTGGCCATATGAGCAAAAAATATACATTCCCATATCATATACATTTGCACGTACGCGCTGACACACAACATACACACAAACATGCACACACATTTATACACGTATTAAATACACACAAATACATATACATACTCATACACACACAAACATATAAATACACATTCACAGATATACACAAATGCATACACATATATACACAGACACCTACATACACAAACATACCCACACACTCGTGCACGCATAATTACACACACACACACACACACACACACACACACACACACACACACAGCACCACTGCAGCGACTAGTCGGCTCACCTAACTGAGGAGACACTGAATGTGAACATACAATGTCAGGTGCCCATAACTCCCTCACTCTCACCCCCCTCCCTGTTACCTCCCTTCCTCACCCCTACCAGTTACCCCCCCTCCCTCCCTGTTACCTCCCTCCTCCACCCAACACATTATCATTCCCTCTCCCTTTAGTCTCACACTCTCTTTCCCTCATATTATTCTCTTTTCTCCTTCATAGCCTTCCTCCTTCACTTCCTTCTTTATTTTACTTGTTATCTCCCTTTTCCTCCTCTCCTTTATCCCTCATTTCATATCCCCTCCCTCCCCGTGTCTCCTTTTACCTCTCTTCCTTATTCCTTCATCGCTCTCTCTCTCTCTCTCTCTCTCTCTCTCTCTCGTCTCTCCGCATTGTCTCTTTCTTGTTTTTTACTCCCTCCTTTATCGTGTTTCTCTCTCCCTTTCTCTCACATGATCCTTCTCTAACCTCCTCCTTGTATGGCGTCCCCCAAGGTTCCATTCTCGGTCCAGTACTGTTTTTGTTGTACATAAACGACATAGTCCACGCCAGCACACTCATAAAATACAACTTATTTGCAGACGATAGTAATCTCTATGCCAGCAACTCAGATCTCCATTCGTTGATGCGAACTATGAACACTGAATTGACGACCTGGGTAATACGTAATAAACTGACCTTAAACCTTGAGAAAACCCACTACACGATCTTTCACAGAAGGAAAAACTTACCCCCAGACTTGGACCCCCTGTACCTTTGTAATTTCGTCCTCAAACGCGAACAAAATACTAAATTCCTCGGAGTTATTGTTGATGAACAACTTAACTGGAGAAACTACATACAAGCCATTCACAGTAAAGTCAATAAACAGTGCTGTTTCATGTATCACACTCGACAGTCACTCACTCTCACAGCAATTGAAGAAATCTATCAGTGTCTTGTTTACCAACACCTGATACACTGTCACACACTATGGGGGGCCTCTGGCTCTTCAAAACACAATCCCTTGTTACTGCACAAAAGAGAGTTGTACGGACAATGACCTACTTTAAAAAACAGATCACACAAACGAAAAATTTGCTAAATTGAAAATGTTAAAATTCGAAGATATTAACACCAACTGCTGTGCCCTCTTTGTTTACAAATCTATCAATCACTTGCTTGACAATAATTATATCCAGTTCCGGAATAATCAGAGATACAACTTAAGGCACCCAAAGCTACTAAGACCACCCCCCATGCGCTCCTCTCAATCCCAGACCTCCATAAAATATCACTGTGTGAAGGTGTGGAACAACTTACCCCCACCCATCCGAGCAAAGACTACGCTCCCTTCCTTTAAATCATCTCTTAAAAAATATAAATTATCTAAGTATTATTATTTCTTGTAATACCAACTATATTTACAGTACCTGCTTTTCTTGTACCATCAAAACTGTTTTATCGGAAATTTTCATGTAAATAGATAAGAACTTACCATTGCAATAAATATATTTGCCAACAAGACATAATCCCAACAGCTCTGTCCTCTTGTTCAACTTTAATACTGTACAACCCATGTTGTACTGCTCCCCCATTATACTTGTGTTTATCAATTCCACTGTAATTTATGTATATACTTATAATATAGATAAAAAAATAAAAAATAAATAAAAATAATAAATAAATAAAATAAATAAATATTGAAGTGACAGCCGTGGCAACATTGTGAGATGTTCTTATTACTACCATGCTATTGTACTCTTCCAGATGATACTTAATGTTTCATAATACTTCTTTGAGATAAATGTATAGTATATATCAGGTGCCTCAAAGAGAGCTCAGGTTCTCAACTGGCTCAGCCATGTTAATATTGTTATTATTATCCACTCTGTATCTGTGTTTTTCTGACTAAATATACTGTTTCAATTCAATTCCCGCATTATCTCCCCTTCTCCTTTTTGCTCCTCCTCCCTCCGTTCCTCGTGTCACCTATTTTCCCCCCCACCTCCTCTTCCTCCTTACTCTCCCTCCTCCTCCTCCTCCTCCCTTCCCTCCCCACCCTCCTTCCTTCTGTCACCTCAATCTTACACCACCTCTTTTCTCCTCCCACCACCCCCTTCCTCCTCCTCCCGTCTTCACAATGACCATTATTCCTCCTGTCACTTTTTAGAGAAGCCATTGACCGTAAATACGAATAGTGCCACTCCTAGAGACAGGCAGTCATCTCTTGGCACTCACAGGGACCAAAACACACATCCAAAGTTAGATATGGCACTTTATACACCTAAAACTCCTGGGCACAGAGTAAAACTAGAAAGAAATATTGTAACTGATGGTGATGATAATGGCGTAATGGTGACAACAATGGTGTAATGGTTGTGGGTTTTATGACAAAGTTGTAATGCTAAAGTGAGTGTGGTGGTGGTGGTGGTGGTGGTGTTGTAATGGTAAGGTGGTGTTGTAATGTTGTGTGGTGTGGTGGGGATTGTGGTGTTGGTGGTGGGGAGTGTTTGCGGAGATTGTGGTGATAGTGTGGATTGTTATGGTGCAATATTTACCCCCTGAGTACATTATTTATGCCCTTGAGTACAATATCCAAACCTCTGAGTATAAAATTTAATCTCCTGAGTACAATATCTTCTTACACAAGGGCATTGATCATCGTACTCAGAGGGTGTATAAGAAATCGTACTCTCAAAAGGTTTCGTCAATTTACAAAGAGGTCGTTATTCTTACTGATTAGGCTAATTAACTCGTACACAGGGGTTTGGTCTCGTACTCAAGGTTCTGGCCTCGTACTCACGGGGTGAAGGAGGAGAGAGGAAAGCGAGATAATTAGTAAGCGGGAAAGTTATTCACAATTACCAGACTACTTATGAGGGGAGAACTCTTATTGAAAACTTTTCCAGCCCAAATTTAGTTAAGTTTACAACAAGAAATTTCTTGGAGGATACACCTCTTAAGTTTCAAAGCTGTGAAATATAATAGGAGTAAGGATGACGTGTATGGAGCTGGGAGACGGGGGGTGAGTTAGGTGATTCTCTCTCTCTCTCTTAAATAAACGTCCTATCTCTCCCCGGTGTAGGGTAGTTAATAATTGTCCCCGTATATAATGCCTCGGCTACTAATTATATTCCAAAACTGTAGTATATAATATGTGCTATAACATATATCATACCAATGAAATTATTACACAATCCAGTGATATCTAAATTACCTCGTGTGGTGGCGGCTCCTTTGGTGTCTAGAGCAAATTCATGACACCATAACCCAGAAACATCGTCTTGCCAGCAATTACCCGGGTCATGTTGTAGTGTCATTCACTTTCCTTATCATTCCTGCTGTTGTCGTCTCTTGCTCTGTAAGTTGTATTTAAACTCCTGTTAAAGGTTAACTTCTGGATCTTGTGCCTTGTTATAGAAAAATCCTTGGTTGATTTTAATCGAAAATACTTCATTGTCATAATATTGTAGAACTAAAAGTAAAGACCTATAATTTTGTTCGTATAAAACTAATTCAACATAAATGAGAACATTTTGTGTAACATAAGACTACACTAACCTAACATAAACCTGAGATAGTGTGCAACATATTACCGGAACACAACTACCCGTATGATTTATTACGTTAATACCTCCAGGCATAATTTCACATGCAGTAGCTGCCTTTTGATGCTTAACTTGGAAAAATTCAGAATCCTAACAAGACCCTCAAGCTTCAAAGGTTCATGCTCTTCGCTTCCTGTCGTGTACTGACAAAGTCTTTACACTAATAATAATAATAACAATAACAATAATAAATATAATAATACTAATAATAATAATAATAATAATAATAATAATAATAATAAACGGTTCTTCTCTCTTCTTTCTTCTTCTCTCTTCTTTCTTCTTCTTTCTTCTTTTTTCTTTCTTCTTCTTTCTTCATCCTTCGTCCTTCTTCCTTTTTCCTTCGTTCTTCGTTCTTGTTCTTTCTCTCTTCTTCCTCCGCTAATTCCCCCATCCTACACAATGGCCAATCATTTGTCTTCATCTTTCTCGTCAATCCTCGATTCATCCAACATACATCCAGCATCACATACAGAAGAAATCAACCCTCTAGATTTTTACCATAAATCAGGTATTTGCTCACGGAAGCTAACTAAGTCATATTGACATCTCGAAATATTGAGAGAAATATTTTCAGTCTGTTTGAAAATATCTGAGCAAAAGTGGCATACCAAAAGCAATTTAATTTTCCAGTGGTAAAAATTATCTTGCTTTTAAACACATATTACAATGGGTTTATAAGTTATTAGATAGCGCAAGCACAATTTTATTCGATTTCTTTTTACGACGAAGGAAAGGCGGAAAAAAAAATTCCCCCCCCCCCAACCCCCGACAAGATAATTGCTATCTTGAACTCATCGAAGTGAAAGGGGGTAATGAAATAACACAGATCTCTTATACCGTCTCCGCTGACCTCTGAAAGGATGATTATATGAGAGGGAA